TTCACTTATATAAAACTTAATAATATCATAACAATTTAAAACATTAGCTTAAATTCCAATAAAATACTAAATATCCAAACCGATTTATTCAAGCCATTTTTCCTCATCAAGGACCTGAAAATCATCATCTCATGATTTTATTAAAACCATGATAAACAATATCATACATAATAGTCATATCATATTCTTTTTCATTCATATACAATACAAAACTTTCATATCTCATTTTCATCTTTCACTTTCATATTCACTTTCACAATTCATTTTCATAATTTGTACTTTCACATTTCATAACTCATTATCAGATTCAGAACTTGTTTTCAGACTCAAAACTTATTTCAGATTCATAGCTTACTTTCAAGTTCATAGCCCAATGCATATTTATGAGAATGCAAGGTACATGAGTCAGAGGAGTGTGCGCAATAAGCACTTCAATGCTATCATCAAAATCAGACTATGCACTCTAAGTGCAATCATATCACTTGCACCAACGGTGCTATACATAATGTACACAAATGTACCAGATCATAATCATAATCAAGCCACCTAATGGCATGTCAATTGTATCTATGACTCTCAATGCAACATACAATGGGGTTTTCCATTAATTATTATATGTTATAGAATTATCAAAGATATCAATATCTCAACATATCCAACTTTCATATCATAACATGATGGGTAGTTCATACCCTAAATCATTCGTAAAACTTTATAAAAATATCATGGAAATAATCCATAATGAAAATAAAAACATTCTTTAAAATAATATGAGATTGACTTATTACAAGTCATACGTGATCAAAATAATTAAATAAATAATTGCACTTACTTATTATTACTTTCTCTTTTAAACATATATTATTGTATTTCCTTGTTTTATAAATATCATAATTTTTCATGCCAATGTAATAACATTGACTCATTTCAAACATTCTAAGATAACATATCTCATAAGAGTATCATAACATACATAGTTTACCACATTATAAATTTTGATTTCATATTATGGAAGTTTGTACTATCTTCAAATAAATATTATTATGTATTAATATACACACTTAAAACTTATTCCGTTTATACCACTAGAAACTAGACTCGAACAAGAATCTAACCATATAAAACACTTCTTCTAGTTTATCTTGTACAATTTATAGTGAATTTTCAAACTTGACTTACAGAAGCTGTTTTGAGTAGAATCTGGTGCCCTATTTTCTGACCTATCCTCGATTAAAAAATCATATCTTTTTGTATACTTCTTGAAATTAGTATTCGTTTGTTCTCAACAAAACAAAACTGATATATGAATCCAACGACATAAAAATCACCCCCTAATCACTTCTATAGAATTTATGGTGATTTTCTAAACTTATGTTGAAAACATTTTGATATTTCGATATAACAAATTAAGTTAAATGAATTTTAAGATTTTCCAAAAAGATTTTCTAAGTATATTCGATATAATTATTTGAATATCAAAATATTACTCCAAATCTTTCAAATTTCATTTTTAATCCTTACTCAAGTGTAAAATTAAGTTTTAATCTTAAAATAATTTCAAAACAATTTTACAAAATATTTCGAACCATTTCAAAGCCAAAAATTCCAGATTGCTCAGAGGGAACCGATTCCCCCCTGAATGGTTTGGCTCCAAGAAAAACAGAATGCTCGGAGGGAACCGATTCTCCCTAAGGGGGTACCGATTCCCCCCTGTTTAACGGTCAAAATATTTGAATTTTACACTTAGGTAACCGATTCCCGATGAGGAGGTACCGATTCCCCCATGCTCCAAGCAGAAATATTAATTGTTTTCACACTTAAACGGCTCCAATAACTTCATTAATGATCCCCAACGTTCAGAAGTGATTCAAGGTGTATTTAAACAAGCTTAGAAGCCATTTATCAATAACAAGAAACAACAAGCAACTAGAATCAAGAGAGAATCAAAGAGAAAGCATCAAACCTCAAGTTTGAGCATTTCAAGCTTATTTTTCATTCAATATTCATTTTGCTTTCAAAAACACTACTTGTACTCAATTGTATTCATTCTTGAGTGTTTTTCTTTGTTCTAGAATTGTGAAAACAATCTACCTTATGAGGATTTCCTTGTAAGTTTGCAAATTTGTATTGTTCTCTTTGGGAGAGAGTGTTCTCAAGAATTTGGGGTATAATTCTTGAGGGTTTGTAAGGTTACTCTTTGTCCTCAAAAGAAAGACAAATTAGTGAATTTGTGGAAAATCCTTAGTGTGGATAGCTAAGGTAGTGGACGTAGACTTTGGTTGAGAAAGTCGAACCACTCTAAATCGCTGTGCAATTACTTTCAATTTTCTACAAAAGCTTCCACCAAATTTTTAATTGCCAATTCACCCCCTCTTGGCCGATTTCGTCAATCGATTAACTCAACAACTTACTATTCATAACATAAATCTGGTAGATTTCACTAACTTATATTTTCAGTTTATTCACTAATTCTATTAGCATACCAAATGAACATATACACATAAATCATAAAAATTCATAACATTTAGGAGTCACTTCTTACCATAATAACTCTGTGAGTGGCTCATCGCAAGCCAATGTTTGCATGATATCATAAATACAAATTAAATATGCGGTCACCTGGAATCCTTATTCCCATTTCATCTTTAAGCTCTTCTTAGGTTTAACATTGTTTCATCTTGATTTCAAACTCACAATCTAAATGAACATCATTTACAAAACATGTACATTTCAAATCACATGTTAAAATCTCACTAACATAGGCACACAATAGAAAATAAATTCCTAAAAATCTTTCAATGCTCATTCGATATTAATTTCATGTCACAACATAAATATTGACTTTAACACTTTCAAGTTGACCATTCAATTCCATTTTTATCCAAATTCACCCAAACTTCAAATAACTTTTTTCAACTTTTCATTTTAACTACTAATTATGAATTCTTTTAGAATTCATCTTAACTTTTCTATTTCATTCTAAATAGTTCTTTGCCCTTTTACTTCAATTCAAGTATCAAACAACTTAATTAAATTTCCTGCATCTAATTTACAGCCCAATAGCCCAAAGATTCTATCATTACCACTTAAGTCACTTACTTTCTCAATATTTTCCATTTATTACTCAAACTTTGACAACTTTCTAAAATAGTAAAATTTCACATTCTAACACCAAATCCATCACTATAACATTAATTTATAGCATAGTAATTCATGTATTGAGTAATTATAGATCAACCCCATAACTTTTCAAAATTGTCAAATAGGTCCCCCAACTTTTCAAAATTAAAAATTGGTCCTAATATCTTTCTAAAACTTGTAGGACCCTTCTTACATCATTTCTAACATGTGTATAATTTTCCATGATTTTCTCACTTCCAAAAGCTTAGGCATAATGTTAAGGGGGTAGGTTTCATAATTTCACTTGATTTCAATTTGATTCGAGCATGAAATCAACCTCTATTCAATATTTAGACTACATGGCTAAGAATTTATCGAATAAGATGCAAATTAACACCTTTGGATGACATGAAGATGCAAATGCAAGAAAATAAAACCAAAATAAAATAAACACAAAATAAAAATGGGTTAGTACACATGATAAACAACAAGGTAGTAAGAACTATAAGCATCGAATAAGATCTACCCTCACAGGTAGATTACCCATACATGGTTTAATAAATCTTACTTTAACATTGGTTTAATAAATCCTACTTGAACATTCTTTCTACCCACATACTTTGTTTAAAATCTTAGTTGTATGATATCTACTTCGCATGCTTATATGGGAAAAAAACCTAATCGCATGATATATAGTTCTCAGGCATTTATTCAAAACGTTGAATTATTCTACCAAAGACACGTAGAAGCTTTTCCTTGTGTACACTCTTCACGGGATTTCTAAGGGTAGGATAAGCTCTATAGTCTTGAGCTCACTATATGTTGGGTTCGTCTTTAGGGCAAGAGGTACTCGAATTGTCATTGTTGGTGCCCCCTTGGGCTGCCAGACCCTCAATTCTGGCCCATCACAGTCTTATTCAAATCGAGTTCAATTCGAGGGGGTACAGTTCTCTATATCCATGCGGAGGTGATTACCATCATGATAACCATAAGGCGTGTGCCCTGGGAATAATATGTTATCTCATGCGGAGGTGAAAACCATCACGAGAGAGTAGCTTCTCACTCCCACTTAAACAGGATGGAGCGGAGTTTTAACTCAATGTCATGTAAATGTAAATTATGCAGTGTGTGAGGAAAAGCAAAAATAATACAACGCAAGCAAGCAACACACAACTGAATTCCCAATCACTTTAACAATATTTAATCTAAAATTATTAGCAAACAAATTAGTCTAACTATTTACTGGTTAATCAAATTATAAATTTATTCCAAACACAAAAGGGATCAAAAATTAAATTAATACGAATTTATAATTTCATTGCAAAGACAACTGATTAATTAACTAATGACTTAGCTCTCTAAGTGTCCCCAACAGAGTCACCAAACTGTCGAGGTGTTCTTTTTTCAAGATCATGGTGTCGATAAAAATCGAGATATTTTAAAAAATGATTGCCTCGAGTCTCAAATTATTTGAGACAATTACTTTTTAAAAACCCCAATTTTTATCGATACATTGACCTTGAAAAAGAATGCCTCGACACGAGAAACTCAACAAATGAACATATTACGGTTGATGGACCATGCATATACTTCACCCTAAGAAAAACTTGATTTAAATTCAAAGCTGGCATTTTGACATTATAATAAATAGAAAGATTTACTTGAGTTTTCATGTCAAGTCGTATTGACGAAGGCAATGAACCAATAACGAAGAACAAATGAATATAGGCGGCAAATTAGAGATAATCCAAAGGTTAGAGAGCCCTCAGCCACGGGACAGTTTGAGGAAAGAAATCCAAAACTGCTTTGAAATTTCAAAGCGGGATTAATTTAACCGCTAATTACTTATTTTAATTGGATAATCCATTCAACTGCAATTAACGAAAGGAGGGTATAAATCCAATCCATAAATCACCATCGTTAATTGCAAAGTCCCTTCAGCTTCAAACTCCACACCTTTCAAAACTCACTCCTTGAACGTCGCCATTTCCATCGTCCCCGGTCGCTTCTCAGCTCCAGCAGTTCTAGTTGTTTTCTCCTTACCTTAAATCCTTTCTGGTACGATTTCACTTTTCTTTGGCCTCATTATTGTGTATTTTTTTAAAAAAAAATCTTTTGGAAGGTTTGTCGAGTGAGAAATTATAGTTTTTTTCTCAATCTTTTTGGGGTCGATTGTTTTTTTAATAGTAGTCAACGGTTTCACCTTTAGCGGCTTAAGGAGGAATCGTGTTTCTTGTTGATCGAGGAACCCAGTATTTTTCCATTAAGGGTTTTGGTACTGATTCGATCTTAATATGGTTGCTATCGGTTTTGATTTTAATAGTTTTCTTTAATTTCTGGGTCTGTGTTGGAAGTGAATTTTTCCCATTCATGATTTCGTAGAAAAAAAACAATCAAGACGAATTTTCTTTCACACCTAAAAAAAAAACTGAAATTGCCGCTTCTGGGGGTCGCTATTGTCAAAAATTTAATTCTTTAGGCAAAGTTAATTCCCATTGCTTCGTAAGTGAAGCTGTTATCGTCATCGAGTTAGTTTAAGATTTTCTAGGAACTGGTTTGGATTTCCCCCTCTTCACTTATTTTTCTGAGATGAAAATTCAAAAAGGAAGTGGATATGTGTAGATTTTTTTAGCTTATTGCTTGGTTGAGGAAACTGGTGAGTGTTTGATTCTGTAAATAATCGGAAAAAAATGAGATGGGATGTTTTAAGGCAAATTCATGTTAATATCATGTGCTGGTGTATGTGCAGTTTGAGTAGTTACAAGAGCTGACTCTGGATATGAGCATTAGCATCTAATCAGTTTTATCATTTCATCAGTTAGTTTTTTGCTTTCGTTTAAACTTTTTGTGTGAATGGTGATCTGTAGATTTTTCTGATGAATTATGTTTCAGAAAGTATACTTGGGTTTTATATGATTCCTTTTTTTTCATGTATTAATTAGGATTGACAAGCTTAATGGTGTAAATCCTTTCATTAGTTCATTTGGTGGGAAGGGTTTTTAGGTTTTTGCCGGTAAAAATTAACCGCTTCAGTATGTCTTTTTCTGTTTCACTTTGATTCAAGCTTTAGCAAACAATTGAATATTCATGTCCTCTAGGAGAGAAAAAGTCCATATATTTGCTCTGGCTTAGTTGAATTTTCATTCTCTGCTGAACAGGAATTGTTAATTTGCCCAAATCTATGGTGCCAAATAGTTTAAGTCAACCTTCGGAGCTTGAAAAATCCTAGTGAAAAAGGTTCCCGTTGTTTCGGCAGAGTTAAGAAGTGGTATATGAAGCCGGTAACCTTGTTTTAAGTTTCTATGCTTTCATCGGTTCTGGTTGTGTTGATGAACTTAGATGGGTGTTCCCCCTTTGGGGCTGCTGCCTGAAAATCAAATCGACACTTTTCCATTGTTAATGGAGCAACCAAATGAATTTAGTGGGCATGTTATTGACATACCTAGGAGTGGTGATGCTTCTTCATCAAACTTATCGTCTGCAACAACTTCAAATGGGATGGATGTTTTGCAGCATGCAGACAGACCTTCTACTAGTTCAAGAGCACTAGTTTCACAGCCTTCCCAACCTTCAATATTTTCTTCAAATGGTACAAACTCGAGAACCTCATCTACCGTAAGGAGAGGGGATGCCCGTCGGAGGAGGAATCCGTTAAACTCTGTTTTGTGGATTTCTGTTGAACTGATTCTTACAGTGAGCCAGTTTGTAGCATCTATTGTTGTCTTGTCTTTGTCACGGAATGAGCATCCTCGTACACCATTGTTTGCATGGATTGTAGGTTATTCATCTGGATGTGTCGCAACCCTTCCTCTTCTTTACTGGCGTTATCGTCATCGTAACCAGGCTTCTGAGCAAGACTCGGCTCAAAATCGCCACTCTTCACATAATAATGCCCCTACCAGATGCTTTTCTCCATCTGTTTCAAGGACTTCTGATGGGGATGATCATCGTACCCCAACTACGTCTTCTAGAGGCGGTCAAAACATGGGAGTTGTAAATGCCAGGTACAATGTCTGGAATACTTCAAATTGGTTCTAAATTGCAAAATTAAAACACTAGTGGAATACTTCAAAATGGTCACCTTATTTTTCAATAAGCTTATTTTTGTACTGCAGAATTAAAACACTAGTGGAATACTTCAAAATGGTTCTAGATTGCTTCTTTGCTGTTTGGTTTGTGGTTGGCAATGTCTGGATCTTTGGTGGGCATTCATCTGCCAGTGAAACTCCTAACATGTACAGGTAGTGGTCATTGCCGGCTTCCATATTCTGCATTTAACTTTTTATTTGTAATTCTCTTGAGAATTCATCTTCTTATTTGTCCTTTTTTTTTGTTTCCAGGTTGTGTATAGTTTTTCTTACGATTAGTTGTATCGGATATGCAATACCCTTCATTCTATGTGCTACTATCTGCTGTTGCCTACCTTGTATTATTTCTGTCCTTGGATTTAGAGAGGATCTATCACAAGCAAGAGGAGCTACACCTGAATCCATAGAGGCTTTACCAACTTATAAGTTTCAGGTGAAGAAGAATAGAAACAGTGATGGTAAGGAAATCAACTCAGGTGCCACTGAGGGCGGTGTCATGGCTGCAGGAACGGAAAGGGAGCGTGCCATCTCTGGAGAAGATGCAGTGAGTGTCCTTTTTATTATCGTTTCGATAATTCAGTATGTCTCCTATTCCAGATAATATCATAATAAATGATGAGGGTCTCTCTTTGCATACTTTAAGGGTGAAATTAATAGGTAGGTGTCATAAACAATATGTATGTGTGCACTTTTGCATGTTTATTTTCTTCTTATGGTATGGGTTGCGAGATTACTCGGTCTGACAATTTGCCATCATACTTAACTATACGAGCTCTCGATGACCAATAGGACCATGCTTTCTGCTTTATCCTGCTATGTTTTTTGTTTCTTCCCCGATCTTCGTACTGATACTATTTGCACGCTTGGATTTTGGATAGGTTTGCTGCATTTGTTTGGCGAAATATGTAAACAATGATGAGCTGAGGGAGCTGCCATGTTCTCACTTCATGCACAAGGAATGTGTGGACAAATGGCTCAAGATCAATGCGTCGTGTCCTCTTTGCAAGAATGAGGTTGGGGAGAACGTGTTGGACTCGATGTCGGGGATGAGCACCACCAGCATCTTGAGCTCACTTTCTGGAGCACGTGGTAACCATCGACGAGGTGAGAGAAGGGTGGGCAACAATTATAGACGCTCTATGTTTTAATGATTTTAGTAATGTAATACATAGAAATTTAATACATATGTATATAGTAGTAGTAGTATATACGTGTATTGATGCCTTGGAATTTGGTATTTGTACGTGACACAGCTGCATACAGTTTGATGGTCTTTCTTCTTATGTGTTGGGTGGTCGTCCCTTCCATTCTTTATGGTTGTCTTACGGGGTGAGACGCGGGAATGAGATGTTGCATGTTGTACTCACCGGACTGTGATTGACAGACACGGCAATTGTAATTTCATCACTCACCATTCCTATGTCATTGTACCACATTAGCCACGTGTCAGAATGGATTTGATTTACTACAATGTAATTACCCACACACATATACGACAGCGGAGATGGCAAGATTTTAGGTAGGGTTGTAAATGAGACAAGACAGATTGCGAGCTACTCGAGATCGACTCGATCAAGGCTCGATGAATACTCGGATCGAATGGACTCGACTCGAGCTCAAGCTCGACATGAGTTCTTAACGAGCCAAAACGAGTTACTTGATATTCGACTCGAAAAGCTCGTGAGCAGCTCGAAAAAATGTTATATTATAATTTAAGATTTTTTAAAATTACATTATAAAAACTTTATTAAAAATACATTATTGATAATTATAAAATTTTAAAAATATATAAAAAATTCTATAATACAACTACCTTCAATTTTTAATTTTTTTAATTAAGCAATTCAAGTTCAATTGTTACATTGTATATTACTAAAATAAAAATAAAAGTCCATTTAATTAAGCACATGTTATATTACACTCTAAACTTTAAATTATAAACCTTAAATTATAAATCTTAAACCTTGAATATAAAACCTTAAACCATAAATCATAAACCTTAAGTTATAAACCCTAAACCCTTAATCTAATTATGTGATAGGGTACTAAAAGAAAAATAAAAATTCATTTAATTAAGCACATGTTAGATTACATTTTAAACCTTAAACTATAAACTCTAAGCTATAAACCTTAAACCCTAAATCGCATGACGATGACCGGGAACGTTGGTTTGTATGGATTTTTTTATCTACTGTGAATAATGAAACATTAAATATTAAATTTGTACGAGTGCTTCTGAAGTTACAAGCTTGAGGGTTGTTGAGGTAACTCTACAATGGATATGTTCCGGGTTGATTTTGAAAAGTTATGTGTCACCCTTGTTCTATTAACTGTGACATGTTATATGTATCAAATATGTACCCTTATCCGATGTACTAGAGACAAGTAGCCATTGTGTCCAGCCTGTAGAGTTGATGCCAGTGGTTTGCAATTTCTTGTCCAAATGTCCAACCAAAAACGCCTCCTCCTAAGAAAGCCAGTCTGGCACCTGAGACAAAAATCAGTTTGAGAAGCTTAAGATAATTTATACCCATTTCTCGTAACATTAACCAAATCAGGTTCTAACACCGATTTTTATTAGCATAAAACTCGCAACCTAGAATTTTCTTCCAAGCCTTTTCGTGTTATTGTATCCAGAAAACCAGTGGGGAGAAGCTTAAAATAACTTCCCTTTAGATCCGAACAGGGGTTGAAGAGGGTGAAGAGCACGGGAAAGAGGGCGGAGTTCTGGCAGTATATTCCACACACAACATGTGACCTTATATCCCACATCTTTAAGATAAAAACAAGTGCTTCACAATTGATTCTATAAATTAAAGCTCAAACTCAATGGTTTAATTTACGGAGCCACATGGTGAGCACTTGAGCTTGAATCGAACTCAAAATCGAGCTTGAGTCTCGAGCTTCAACTGAGTTTTTAAATTTTTTTTTGAGTTTGAACATTTTTGAGTTCGAGTCGAGTTTCAATATTTTTTTTCAAGTTCGAGTCGAGTTTCAATATTTTCTTTCAACTGAGTGCGTCCTGGAAGGAAGCTTATTGACGCAAGAGATGGAGGTGGAGCGCCCCATATCATCGCAACTGCAGCTGCTTTTTACACGGTTAAAGGCTACCACTGTTTGCTCCTCCGCTTGTTCGCGCTCAAGGAATATTTCTTTTACCAGGCGGAAGTCATGGAATGATTGTTCCTTATCAATGGCCTTTTCCCACTTCTCTTCTCCAGATTCCCTTGTTGGAAACATGGAATCGAAGACGTCGACGGGGTTTTGCTACTTAGACGAAGATGAGAACATTGTAAGAGGTTAGGAGGCTAGAAATTTTATTTTTCTTGCCATTCTCCCTTTTCTATTTTAGATTAACATTCTTCCAGGCAAATCATCCCTTTAAATCTGATTCAATTTGTTGTAATTCTTGCAAACGAATCCCATGTTTCTCATACCAGATCTGAGGTACCTTATATATAGATCTGTGTTCAGTTTAGCATTTTGGTGAATTTATGAATCAACGGCCCTGGGTATGATAACATGTGGACCAACTATTTACTTTACATTAAATATATCATTATGTATATATATGTAATGCATATCATTTTATTATTAAATATCAAAATATTCAAAAATTAAACATACAATTTCAAACTTCATAATTTTTTTCATTTTAATCTGTATAATTTTAATTTATTTTTAAAATTTTATAATATACTTACATCGCAAACATTAACATAATGCAAATGCCTCGCTTATACTAACCATATTATTTAAATTAATAGAACAGATTATAATTTTTTTTATTTTGATTTTATATAATTTTTTAAACACATCAAATAATGATGTTAGACAAATCCCTCTCGGATCATAATGCGGTGCAGTTATCGGAAGGTAACAGGTTTCGAAGAGTTGGCAGTAAAATCTTCAGCCTCCTCTAAGCGTCCAATCCAAGAATCAGGATTGGAGGTATGATTAAGTGCTCAAAGCAAGCAATTAAAGTTTGGGCAGCAAAGTCAAAAGATGATGACAAGAGGTCAATCCCCTACTGGAAAATGAAATCACTACATTGGAAGAATTCATTCAAAAAGGGTCATACAGTAATAAGGACAGTGAAAAGCTTGTCAATCTGAGAATGCACCTGTGGAACGAATACCGAAATGAAGAAAGTGTCTGATTACAAAAATCCAAACTTAGATGGTTTGTTGAAGGTGATATAAATACCTGGTTTTTCCGCTTAAAAGCTTCCTCCTGTCGAAGGACCAATGCAATTAATTGTTTGAAAGATCAAAATGAGGTTATCTCGGATCCAATACTTATTAAGGAGCATGTTTTTTCTATTTCTTTTCGAAGTCATACAATAATTGTCAGTCCCTTGAGATAGTAGACCTCAATTTGGATTTCAAGAGGATTAGTCCCTCCCAAGCCTTATATTTGGAAAATAATTTCTCGGAGATGGAAATCTGGGAAGACTTATTCTCCCGGACAGTAATCGCGCTCCGAGGCAGGAGAATTGAATCTGGGGTTCTTTAAAATATTTTGGTCGCACCTCAAACCTGATATCATGCATTTCTTTGACTATTTCTTCCATGGTCGAGATTGGGAAGCAAGTATCAATCATTCGTTTATCACCCTTATTCCAAAAATTTTAAACCCCGAAGCCATTGAAGACTTTCTCCCTTGGTCGGCGGTTTATACAAACTGCTATCAAAGGTTCTAACCAAGAGATTAAAGGGTTGCATAGGTCAGGTAATTGGGGAATCTCAATTTTCTTTCATCGGAGGTTGATAAATTCTCGATTGTGTTCTAATTGCTAACGAGACTATAGATTATGTCTCTAAATCCGATCTAGGTGGGGTTGCCTTCAAAGTGGATCTTCATAAAGCCTATGACACAATAGGTTAGGATTTGCTGATACAAATTATGAGAAAACGTGATTTCGGGGCTAAATGGTTCAGTTGGATCTTTCAGTGTATCTTCACTGCCAAAATTTCGATCCTAGTTAATTGTGCTCTTATAGGAGTTTTTTCCATCTCAAGAGGCCTAAGACAAGGGTGTTCAATGACTTCCATATTCTTCAACTTAATTAGTGGATCATTGAATTTAATGCTAAAAATGGTGGTTTCTATCGGTCTATTTTTCAGGTTCTCAGTAGGTCGAGGTGAGGAGAACCTGTAAATTTCTCATCCCTAATTTGCAGATGATCTCCTAATATTCTGTGGGGATTCTTGGATGCAGGTACAAAATATAAAGTGGGTCCTCAGAGTGTATAAGTTAGCCTCGAGCCTTAAGCTTAATCTATAAAAAAACAAGATCTTATGAATTAATGATGAGGACTCTTCCATTCAAAGTTGGGCAAATGATGTTAGTTGTATGGTAGAGAAGTTCCCTTCCACTTATCTAGGCCTCCATTTGGCAGCAAATAGAAACTATGATTCTCTTTGGGAACTAGTGTTGTCTAAGTTTACAAGTAGGTTAGAGGGCTAGAAATCGAAATGCCTCTTGAATGGTGGAAGATTGACCCTCATAAAATCCATCCTCTCCAATTTGTTTGCTTACTTCTTATAATTATTTCGCATGTCAGTCTCGATCTTTAATTGTTTGAATTAGATCATGTCTAATATTTTATGGAGTGATGCAACTGATTGAATTAAAATCCATTGGGTTTGTTGGGATCTTTTATGCAAATATATCCATGAAGGGGGCTTGACATTGCCATTTTGGAAGTCACTAATAGAGTCTTATTGAGTGAGTGGGTTTGGCGTTATGAAAATCAACGTGTAACACCCTAAATCCGAATGGGCCTAAAGTTTCATATTTGACTGCCGATAACCCCTGATTTTCAAAACATGCTCATTTTCTTTTAAAATATACTCAATGGTATCGTACAACATTCAAAACAGTTATTAAAACATTTTATAAACCGGAACTCCGTGACACATACTTTAAATCAAAATATTACAAACTCTTTCTTATAAATCTGAATACATAAGTAAGGTCCTATGAGTACCTATATGCCCACTAAAGGTCTAGTACAATACTCTGAAGAAGATACTGGAAGTCCTACTATGACGGTGCTCTACGAATGACCCAAGCTAATAGCCTACAAACGAAAACATCTGAAAGTTGAGCTTACAAAGCCCAGTAGTATAATCGCTAATCTAGAGCAACATTAAAAGTTTCATAAACAAAAGCATGCTAAAGACATGGTACTAAGTAGTAGGTACATGTATAACCTAGATCAAGTGCTACCTACTTGAGTTTCAATTGTTCTATCACTGAAGTAAGAGTCTCATGCTTCCCTTAATCCTCTGTTAAGGGTCTCTAACCCTAATGAATGTAACTCTTACACATTATCTAAATATGACACTGATACTCCTATAAATTATTTGAATGCAAACCTAATTGTATTGTGCATTACCTGAATGAAAACTTGACTAGTATCTGGTCTCGCATAGCCATCAGACACTAGTTAACCGAGGGAAC